ATTGCTTTATAACTACAGAGGCTTTGCTGAGAAAGAAAGAGAGAGAGAGAGACTGGATCTGTGGCTTAACTTCTCGGGCAGTACAACAACCGGACTCCGAAGCGCTGCTGGAGTTTTATAATGTAGTATATAATGGTGTATATAATGGTAGGTGCAATGCGAGAGTGGAGGGCATAGACGGCCCTATTTGCCCCTCACGTCGAGCACAATTCAAACCGTGCTTTAAATGAAAACTTTGGTGCCCTTTGGTTACGCCCCCGGATTCCCACTAATCAATGCCTCGATATTTGAAGCTCTCCAACACTGAATTCGCCAATTCTTAGAAATCTCCACCAAAAATGTTGACAAAATTTTTATTTTCCAAAACACTTTCATCACTTGTTTTCCTATTGATTGCATTTTACTTATGTTTCAAGTTTTTTATTAGTTTTTCAATCCTTTCAATATTTTCCCGATTCAAGTAATAAATATGTAATTATTTTCATTCAATAATTATACACTGTATATAACGTGTTGAAAATTAATCAAATTATTATAAATAACGAATTGTTAATTAATCTGAAACAACAAACGTTTGATTAATTATTTAACTCGTATTGCTTTATAACTACAGAGGCTTTGCTGAGAAAGAAAGAGAGAGAGAGAGACTGGATCTGTGGCTTAACTTCTCGGGCAGTACAACAACCGGACTCCGAAGCGCTGCTGGAGTTTTATAATGTAGTATATAATGGTGTATATAATGGTAGGTGCAATGCGAGAGTGGAGGGCACAGACGGCCCTATTTGCCCCTCACGTCGAGCACAATTCAAACCGTGCTTTAAATGAAAACTTTGGTGCCCTTTGGTTACGCCCCCGGATTCCCACTAATCAATGCCTAGATATTTGAAGCTCTCCAACACTGGATCTACCAATTCTTAGAAATCTCCACCAAAAATGTTGACAAAATTTTTATTTTCCAAAAACACTTTCATCACTTGTTTTCCTATTGATTGCATTTTACTTATGTTTCAAGTTTTTTTGTTAGTTTTTTTTAATCCTTTCAATATTTTCCCGATTCATGTAATAGATATGTAATTATTTTCATTCAATAATTATACACTGTATATAACGTGTTGAAAATTAATCAAATTATTATAAATAACGAATTGTTAATTAATCTGAAACAACAAACGTTTGATTAATTATTTAACTCGTATTCCAATACATAGTGAAAGTCACACAAAACATTTGTAATGTATTTTTCTCACTGCCTCTCAAACATCAATTTTAAAAATCAAATAAATATAAATGATTAGTAAATCGATTATAAATATATGATTAATAAGAGGGTAGAAAAAGACAAATTATATTTCTTAAAAAATATAATAAATTGCTTTAAAATACGAAACTAAACAAATATAACGATGAAAGTCATTCACAAAGGAGTCCAAGACATCCAATAAAAGTAGTGATAATTTAAAATCTATAAATTGTGTTCGCGTTTTAGCAAACAATAAATGACAGAAAAGTTTGTCCACATATATAAACATTTAAACAAAAGAAGTGATGCATTCTTAGACCCCCTCCCATCTCAATGCATACACTTAGATCTTGTACTCTCTCTCTCTCTCTCTCTCTCTCTCTCTCTCTCTATAAAAGCCAAAAACAATTTTTATATTTATTTGAATTATCAAATTCTTGAAGTCATATATTCTCCACAAATAAGATTAATTGAAGGTTTGGCTCTCTCTCTCTCTCTCTCTCTCTCTCTCTCTCTCTACCTGTAGTACTAATACTACTTCACAACACGTTTATCAAGACTGTGCCATTTTGGCGAAACACCTCTCACTATCCCATCCCATTGTGTGTACATTTTAAGCCACAATCTTTCATAATGACTGCAAAGACTGCTTTTGTTTAAACAAATGTTTGGATAAAGAATTCCTTCTCTCGAACTGATGTTTAAATACATAACACATTAGACTTCATGTTATTTGTATATGAATTCTTGGCTCCACTTTTCCTCGATATGACACTAAACAGTCGATTGTTAAACACATTTATGCTGTGTTTTCTGTACATATTATATACACGTAATACTAAATGACTCTAGAAATCAATTATTAATTTGAATGAATTCATTAAATGAATGGTTTTGAGGCTAAAAACAAAACACCGAAACACCAGTTATTACGAAATATAATCAATTTCTCATTCAATTACTGCATCTCTTCAACCCTTTTATTGTGAACAGCCTTAAGGCTTAAGCACTGTATTTATCAATATTTATTTCGCTAATTATATTTTTTGCTTGAAATTGACTAAAATATAAAACGCTTAACTGATAGCGTGTATAGAATATTGAATAAATTTGTTGTAATTGTAATGCAATAATAATTGTTTCAAATAATTGTCTTAATATAGAAGTCATAATCAAAAAGGAAATATTGAATTGATTTCAGTTATCTTTGTTTTCCGTCAAAAACACTTAAATCTACAAAAGAAAGCAATAAATGGATTGTTTGAAAACTGAAGAGATTATGAGCTAAAGGTTTGTTGAATTTATTCATACAGAAAACAATAACTACTACATAATATACTGTATAAACGTTAAGCTAATATCATTGATAAGGGATTTGAGTAAAGATTTCAATCTAATTGTCTCATGAAATAAAAAGATCCCAAACAGTGAAATACAATGTTTAATAATAATACTAATAATACATAAACTAATACTGAATATCAAGTAAATTAATATACGAGTCGTCGAAAGAGCAGCGCATATATACACAGCAATAAGGATATGGAGAAATGTTTTGCTGATAACAAGCAATTTTCTGGCGATAAGATTGCATTCATAATTATCAGTGTGTTGTGTGTCATATCATACGACAAGTAATTTAATTAATTAATGTCTTGTATTATATATTTACTAATATAAGGCTTCAATTTCTGACAAATTTATTGTTTAAAATAACTTCAACTAAAAGAAGGACTTTATTTGGAAATTACGACAAAAATGGTTATCGAGATATGAGTTTAAATTTGAATTATCGTTAAATTACACAAAAATTCATGTTTACAACGACTAGACATAAGGTTTTGATTGTATGTCTTAGCGAATGAAAGACATGTGAAATTATCCGTATATGTAGAGAGAGAGAGAGAGAGAGAGAGAGAGAGAGAGAGAGAGAGCCAAACCTTCAATTAATCTTATTTGTGGAGAATATATGACTTCAAGAATTTGATAATTCAAATAAATATAAAAATTGTTTTTGGCTTTTATCACATCAGAGAGCAATCGATAATATCATTGAGTCTTGAATTATATTAATATAAATATAAAGTAAAAGCAAAGAATTTGTTATATATTTTTCGTATTCATATTTAAATCAAACGTCAAAACGAATAAATTTTAATGAAATGTATACGAAATTGAACACAAAATATTGTGATAAGAAATGTAATGATAAGCAAAAAACTATTGATCTGAATAGGAGTCTAAATCAGTGGTAGAGAAGAGGAGAGACTAAAACAAAATGAAAGTGTGATGTGATGTGAGTTTTGAGATATTTCTTTAATACAAATTTAATTTTAATATTCGCTTAAAACAGAGATTACGACGAGAGCTGACCCGCGAGAGTATAACTCAATTTGTTGCGCAAAACCATAACTTTCTAACACATAGTGAATATATAGTACTGTTATAACAGTTGCAAAATCTTTTTTCTCAATGCAATCCAATATCGCATTACATTTTGAATTGATGTATAAAAAAGATAGAGTGAGTGATGGAGTGATAACAAGACTAAAATGTGATGTTTTTGAATGAAAATGTTATTTAGGAGACGAGAGCATCCCTTTTGATGTTCGCCGTCATTATCGCACCTAACGTTTCAACTCTATCTTCTGACCACATATTCGCATCACATCTCGCATGTGGTGAACGATATCTAATTCCCAAATCCCGGCCCTCTTTCATACATTTCCTATCAAAGTGTGTCTAATAATAAAGTTTCAACTGTTGTGCGAATCATAATTAAGTGAATGAGAGAAAAAGTGAGACTAAATGCGAGAGAGAATAGAGTAGTCGAGAGAGAGAGAGAGAGAGAGATCAATATAGATAGGAGTGTTAGGCAACAGGCATTGAGTTAGTCGTAACAAATAGAGCAATAGAGTGTACAGAGAGTGCAATATCTTATGGCTAATGCTCTCAATCCTCCAATACTCTGGTCTATGTGTTAGTGCTCTCAAACAGTGGTCTCTAACTGTGCACATAATGTTGGATCAAATGAAATAATAGTGCTTTCGATGCATTACCTACTCATTCAGTACTACTACTCAATACACCATTACATCACTTTGTGATGAGAGAGTCTGGAGAGAGGGTACGAGTCGTACGACGAGATCTCAATATAAGCTCTCAAATGATATTACGGCCAATAATTCCCATTTCCTCTTCACCTCAAATCAGCGAAAATCCAGATTTCACTCAAACTCAACATTTGATCTCATCTTTCAAATAGTATTTGAGTTTCAAATTCTAAACTAAACCTTATTTTCATCGCATATTAAGTTATTCTTCGCTATAAATGATTGAAAAACTACTTTAAAAATCAAATTCTTTGGCGATTGATTCAACGAATACGGGTCTAAGTCGTGAATGTATCCAAATCTGTACATTAAGTATACAATACTATACTATAAGTCATTCTCTTTGGGAGACTGAACAGAAGAATCGCAAATATAGTAATAAATAGTGTATAAGACTATAAACACAAAAACCAATTTTCAAGCGGTTCAGGCTATCAATTCAAGTGACAGAGAGAGAGAGAGAGAGAGAGAGAGAGAGAGAGAGACTGTTTGGTTTTAATATATTCATAGATGCTTTCAATTTGATGCATAACAGATGTAAGAGTATGTAGTGTTGAGCCGTAACATTGCTGCCAATGGCACACATGATGTCAGCGCTAATGGAAAGTGTAAGCAAAACAGTGAATAAGTTCCTCATTTTCTGGATCTTGTCGTCAGACAGAATCGTATGGAAAATGATTTCTCTTTCCGTTAGTATAAAATTGAAATAACATTACAACACAAATAAATGCTAAATATTATGTACTTTTTGGTGAACTATTTGGGCGACAAAAACACACATACATAAGCCCTGAGCGCCTAAACATTTGCGCTTCATTAGACACTTTTCTACACTTTCTATACTACTTAAGCATCGACTATAGGGCGCATCACTTCGGGATCAGTTGATACATTCATAGGACACCGTTAGCGCAATTGTCCCATATTTTTACCATTTAAGCTCATATATTGAATGCCTATTCCCTTTCCTATTGCATACATTACACACTCTTCTCTGTATTAGTGTTTTTAAAAAACTCCAATTCCTAGCCCTAAATGCATTTCATAGGGATGTGTAATAGGAATGCATTTAATACTGATGTAAGTATTAGTAAAAAGTAAACTCCATTAATACTGGCCCTCGCAGATGGGGTCGTGCACTCAATTCCCTATTTCTATTATGGTATTACTTTGTATTAAGCATTAGACCCAACCTTACCATTCGCTTTTTAACCCTAAGTTACCAGTGTTTGTAAGCTATGTATACATTTGAATGCTTTAATACACATAACATAAAACACATCTAAATATAATAGAATCCATTTGCCAGGTGTTAAACAGTCATTCAATATTCAATTCATCAGCTCTTACTCTTCAATATATATACAAATCAATAAATTATTAGAAAATTTTAACAAATATTTCACTTGAAAAAGATTTCACTTAAACATTGATGAATGCACTGAAAGAGTATCAATAGAGAGCAAAGATTGTGGAATTAAGACTCAAAAATTAATAATAACAGTACTATTGAAAGACTGAACAACGCTTTTGTGTAGAGAATATTCCGGGAAAAAGAGTTATCCGCGCTATTCATGCAAATTGAAAAAAGAGAGACATAATAGGCTTTAACTAACTTTTTAAATATTCATTGGATAAACATTTTCTCATTAATGACTCTCTCCTTAGTGTCAGAAGTTTTGCGTTTCAATGCATAACAACAAAATGAGATTCAATTCACTCAATATACACTTATATACAATTTTCAATGCATTAGAAGATAATACAAAAATCTAATCATTTATTTCAAAAAAGGGTTTGCATTTCAAAGAATAATCATTAATATTTTTGTAAAGAGTATATACACTGTATATTCAGCATTAGTCTTGTATTGAAGTTTCTACTTATAAATCAATATATGGCCAATTAGTACACATCTCGAGCACAACCATTTGCCACTACATCCTAACCTAGTCGACCCCCCTCTCCCTCTCTCTCTCTAAACCATTAATTTTTATTGAAACGTATTCTACAAAATAGTATTAATTATTTACAATTTTAATTAATAATAGATAAGTTATTTTCTCTAATTAATAAGAGGTGTAGTCATCCATACATAACACATACAATATGTTGACATTTGGTTTCATGAGATGACCTGAAGCCGCAAATAACTTCACATAAAATTTCATTGCAAATCAGATATGGTATTAATAGTAATATTATTTTCGCATTATGTGAGAGAGAATACAATGAAATGTTAACAAATGAATACATTTCAGTGTATAGTGAATAGAGTGAAAACATAATCGTTTAAATATTTCATTTATCTCTTTAGCCCAAAGCCAGTAATTATTTGCAACGAGAAAAAACTGATGTGTCGTTTGATTTTTGCAAATATAAAACATCTCTCGAATAAATAGTTTGCTTTTAAAAATGACATCAATTGAATGGCAAGACTGAGAGCGAGTCTATCTATCAGTCGAAGCAATCGCTCGACTTTGAGGTATAACGAGAATGAACTCCGAAGAGAAAGTATTTTACTAAATAAAACTTGAATTTAAAAGCAATCCATCAAATGATTGATCAAAAGAGAAGCTCAAGAATTGAAAGACGAGAGAGAGTGAGAGAGAGAGAGAGAGAGAGAGAGAGAGAGAGAGAGAGCATTAAATATAGCGAATGAATACCCATATGAGAGATTGCGAGTAAAAAATGAGTCGAATTAGACGTAAAGGAGAAGAGAAGATAAGTTTGTGACGAGAAGTGAATTATATAAATGTAAATCAAATAGGTTTGAAATGAATGCCAGTCTATGCTATGCATAAAATATTGAACAGTAGGCATAGGAGTAGAAATGGTATGCATAGCATATATCATACATTACATGATACAACAGAATCCATGTATTCATGTATAATATGGCGTATATATGAAGATCTTTTGGTAGAGAAAAGAGTAGAGAGAATGTAATCAATTAGAGATCAGTGAGTGGAAGCATTACCAGGCATTACACATACCATTGAAATACAGTTGATAGTGGAGAGAGTGAGTGAGGGGTTAACTCACAATATTTTACTTTTCATAGTCTCTACCAATTTTAATGAACCAATTCTACTGAATATAACAACTACTCGTATAAACGTATATATTATAGAAGTTGTAAAAAATTTGGCTAAAAATCTCTACTCATAGCTAGAAATTTATTAGCGTTTATGTTTAACTCTCAATATGTTTAACCCTTAACTAAAAATACGATTTTTATGGTTCAAGTGCTCCACGAAAAAGAAAATTGAGAAAATATTTTAGACAAAAGCAATATATTATACATATTATTAATATATTACTCTTATTTTTTGTGAAGATTTTTCGCTGTTATTTTAAAAACGAAATATTTTTATTGAATATTAAAATTTTAATAATACTCGAAACGAATGTTTGAATTCTTTAAATACTAAACATGTATATATAGTGTGGTATCGATTGTGCAATAAATCTGAGACTAAAATATTACTTTTAAATTATTGAAAAGCGAATAACAAATACTAATAAAAGAAGAAATATTTCAAATTAAGTCAAACGAATAGTTTGTTGCGTTAAATATCGTGTGTAAAGAAGAGAGAGAAAGAGATATTATATGTAATGTGTATATGTGTTGTGTGTTTGTATGTATGCATCGACGCCCCTGTCATTATCACCGGATAGTTTAAGTTAGAAATTATTTCACTCTTTATTATTCACATCCTTAACCAGAGGGTACGAGAGCGAGGAGAGAGAGAAAAGTCGACCACAAGTGCACAACAAGCAGAACAGCCATAAAAAGAGAGTGTTTTCAATCTTTACAACAATATAATAATAACGTAAAAAAGTTGGTGAAAATAATACGCTCGAAGCGAGTGAACCAAACACTGAGACTCGAGACTAACATTCATAATGACCTCACATTGAAGAAGAAGAATACGTGGAGGGCATCAGCGGTGCAGACCTTGGCTATAGAGTCTGTACACACCGGCGCTAATTGGCCTTTTGATGACACCCTAAGCATAAACTACGAGAATTGGACACTACATTATCAATGGATAGGTATTGCTATTAGCCGTGCATTTGAGTCCAATTTATAATTGTATTGTTATAATAGCCAACGGAATGGCCTTAACTTTCTCAGTGGAATTAGCATTGAGTACGAGTAAGAGTATGGGTTCGTACGGCACCGGCAGAGGACCACCACCGATGTCTACAGGCATATACCGATCCACGGCTTAATGAGCGCTCAGTTACCTCTCAAAACACACACAACAGTACTGTTGATGTAATTGTTTGACGTTTGACGGCATTCACAACCACTACCGGAGATCATCTATCACTACAAAACATAAGTAAAGAGCAGACAATAGAGACACTACTGGCGCTCAAATTCATACGAAACCAACAGTTATCTGAGATAATTGATTATTTCAATCATCGGGATTAACGTATGCCTCCAAACAACACAAAAACCATTGACTTATCAGTGGTTTCGCAGAAAAAGAAAGTAGAAATTGAATTCAATTTTATATCCCATTCTTAGTACTAATACTACTCGCTATCCATACATAACTATTATGCCATTCCTTATCGGCACTCATTCCTCATTACTCCTAATTAAATATGTTTTTTTCAACAACTATTTTGTTTCGCTTAACACTTAACTCATTATTATTTTGAAATAATAGCTTTAATAATAGCCTTTCAAATGCGAACATTATTATTAAAACAAGTTATTAATCATAAGGAGATTCAAAGGCAAAAAAGCAAAATAAAAACAAGAAAACTTGAAATTCTGTTCAGTTATGAAAATATTTGAATTGTTAATCGAAAAAGAGTTTTTCTATTAAGAATTCAATGAAATTTTTATGAGTTGTTGTAATGATTTTTAAAGGAGTAATAATAATCATTAATGATATAAATTCATATATTTATTAAAATAAATATTTAGTTTAGAGCTTTATCTCAAATAACAAATAAAGTAAAAAAAACTTTAAACACATTAAAAGGCGGTTAAAAAACAATTTCTCGATTCACTCAATACTGTTGACAATTGATAACTAATCGATTAATTGGATAATTTATTAGCTTTTTATTTCTCTAAACACAAGATATGATACGATATTTTAAACCTAAAAATTGCATTTTATGCTTAAAATAGATAATAAATAAGAGAAAAAACTGTGAAAAATTTCTCATTCAATGCCTTTTACGATATTCTTTATGAAATTATCGATGACTTCTCTCACGAGTTATTGTTAGGAAATATTTGGTACAAAAGATGAATATAAAGATAGTTTTTGGGCAAATGGTCTCTATATTTAAAGGGTATAAAAAAGCATTTATTATAATAATAATACCGTATATAATAAGCAAGACTTAAAAATAACAATATACTTATTTAACGCTTTTATAAAAGCTAATCAAAATGGTCTAAAATATTAGGTTCGCACCTAAAAAAGCCTATAAATTATGTATTAGTGAATGAAAAATATATTGTAGTTATTATACTGTATAAGTTATACGTGTTGTGGTTTGCAATATTGTGTACAATACCTGTGCTAAACCATACACAACATAATATACACACAACACCACAACACTGTTCGCTAATAATAAGTGTTTTTCAATGTGTAGTAAACTTAAGAATATATGGCGTTAAGAATATATGACCAAAAAGCAGGTATTACTGACATTATTATTACGGCCGACTCTACCACTAGTCCTAACGTTAGCCTCAATTACAGCCTAAATAGCAACCAAATAAGAGGGAAAACTTCTTTTTTTCTTTCTCTGCCTCTCAACCGATCTCTTCAACCAAATAACGAGCCAAAGAAAAGAGAGCTTATGTTTTCAGTCGTCGAGAAGGAGAAATATATGTCTAAACAAATGTATTAAAAGCGATGAAAATGTAAAAAAATATCTACAAAAACATTGAGTGTACTGTAAGTGCAGTTTCGTTGATCTCTAAAACATATAAATTCCGTCTAAAATTATAAGTACTCTGTATTTGATATTAATATTACATATAATTCACTGTATGTTTGACCATAAAAATAAAAAGAAGATATAATAATGAGTTGTAAATCGGTTTATATTTTTATGGCACTATATATTTGTACACAAAATTTGTTCCGCAATTAAATATTTAAGAGATGGACGAAAAGTATAAATTTATTTATTTTAATATACATTATTTGCTTTGTCTTCAATACATTGGTCTCTCTCTCTCTCTCGGATATACACAGTGTGTATACCATAAGTAAATGTATTGTATATTAATATATAATCTTTGGAGGGAAGAAAAATATTTCGTGTTTTTCGTTGTTATAAAACAAGTTATTGAATGAATGCAAACAAATATTTACCGAATATATGGCTAAATGTATGATAGCTTTTGTTTGTCTGAATTATTTATGAATCTCTTGTCTGTAAAAGCAATTTGTGATTTTTGTGACCACTAGTTATAAAACAACTAAAACAATCTTTGCCTCCATTTCCTTTCAGTATAAGTAATATCTATTTAGGCTATTATTACAAATGTCTTCAAAACTCCAGAGTCTGTGTATATTTAGTGGACTCGACTAGACTTTGAACTAACAATTGAACGGAGATTTTTAGAGCAATATTTTGATATGTAGTGAATAGTGTTTATTATAAATTATACCGTATAATAATTTTCAGACCAAATCATGGTATATAATAAGGAGAGAGAGAGAGAGAGAGAGAGAGAGAGAATGAAGTGATGAATGGATGATTAGAGCGCAGCTCAGCATTTGATAGGCGAAGAATGAGTCGGGAATGGGATCTAAAACGGCAGACCTGACAGACCTTAATGTAAAGTGAAAACAGTTTTATACGTCAATCGATTATTTTGTCGACCAATAGAAGTGAGAAAAAGAGGAGTGAATTGTTGGCACAACTCATACGCATAGATATAATACAAGCAAATACTGCATATTCTGTGCGACAATAAAACATAATATGAACACAAAAAGTGTATTCAGATTCACACTCTATTCATGGTATTTATTGTCTCGATTTTTGTCACTTTTGTCGCTCTATAACCGAAAATGTCGACTCAATTGCCAATACTTTTCATATGTTTTTATTATGCATTACATCTCAATAAGAGTTTTCCCGGAATTATTCTCGTTGTTATATACGGTATATACTGTCGTGTATTATATATGCCTCACACCTCCCCCGAGAGATCAAAAAGTTGTCCCCTTTTATACATATATTGAATATAATGTTCAAACGAATCGCCGCCTAAAACGACCTGTCATTTGAAGGCAAACAACGACTCAATTATTTGTTACATAACTTAATGGCGTAATTCATTAAATATTTGTTTTATTAATTAAATATATATTGTGTTTATTTTACACCTAATTATTTGAAAAAACAAAAGCACACAAAACATGAACACTCTTTGATTACAATAAATAATTAAATGTAAATCATAAACAAAAATAACTAAAAAACCAAATGAATTTGTATTATATTTTCTTATCGTATAAATAGCTTCACAACAAAAACCAAAGACAAGAATTTCAAGTTTGAATTTGTAATAAACTTAATGCTCAAGAAGAGAGAGAGAGAGAGAGAGAGAAATATTCTGATAACCGATCGACTCGTAATCATAACATTTAGATTGAGATTGAAATCAAATCCACAATCATTTGTAGCGAAGAAAACTTTTTTAAGCATTTTTGTTATAATAGCGCTGCCACTCCGCCTGTCCTTTGTGGAGGTGGGTGTCAGCACTCATGAATCCTGGACCCAGTAATCAGTCATTAAATCTGTGAAAATACTCAACCAAAGAGAGAGAGAGAGAGAGAGACTGTTTTTCTTCAACATTTAATTGAAGGGAAATTTTTTGGTGCACTGAAAACGAAAGTCGAAAGGAATTAATTGAATTTCAAACACAAATAATAAACCCTTACTTCACATAAGAAAATAGTCGTTATTTTTATCGTTAAATTTTTTTGAAATATATTTTCTTCCAAAAACTTATTTCTAATAAAAATATTTAACTCGAAAAGCAGTTTAAAAGTGT